AATCTTGCCATTTGCAATGATATAGATGGAACTAGAGGGTATTATGCTAAGCGAAATAAGTCAGTCAGAGAAAGATAAGTATCATATGGTTTCATTCATATATGGAATTTAAGAAACAAAAGAGATGAACATAGGGAAGGGAAGGAAAAATAAAATAAGATGAAAATTGAGAGGGAGGAAAACCATAAGAGCTGCTGAACTCTAGGAAACAAACTGAGGGTTGCTGGAGGGGAAGGGAGTGGGAGGAAGGGATAACTGGGTGATGGGCATTAAGGAGGGCACTTGATGTAATGAGCGCTGGGTGTTATATGCAACTGATGAATCACTGAACTCTACTTCTGAAACCAATTTTTAAAATGTTTTTAATTTTGCCAAAGCAAAACAGAGAGGCCTTTTTGTGCAGTGGATTGACTGCATGGTTTGGCTTCAAACAGCCCTTGGTTCAAGTTATATTTCACCAGTTACCTTATTTTTCTAAGTCATTATAAAATGAAGGTAATAAGTACACATGTTATGAGGTTGTTCTGTGGTTTACATGAGAAAGGCCTATAAATTACTAAGTACATAAATACAAATTACTTTCCTTTAACTGGATAATTATATGAAAATGAACATGATTTGTGTTTAATGGAAATTTGGGTACTAAGGGAATAGAGAAGTCAGATACTTCATTTCAATCAGATAATCAAGAAATGCTCCCTGTAGGGGGGCTGCATTTAGACCTAGAGACCCAGGAGAAAGGAGATCAAAGATTGAGGTAGTTGAATTGTAAGATGGGATAATAAACCAGTTAAGTGACAGGAAATGGGCAATATGTGTCTGGCATGTTGGGACTCTGATGTATAGATTCTGTGTGCTTTCATGAATTCAGAATAGTAAAAGATCTAAAACTGGTGGCTTTCCTGAGTGGTGGTTGCAAAGGATCATAATCAAATATCTGAGCAGCAGACTTGAGAATTGGCTAACAAGGGAAGGGTGACCTAAAGTTGGGTTAAAAGTCTATGACATTCCCATTCTTTACAGGACACAGCTACTAAACTAGCAGTTGTACTTAAATCTGAGAGAAGCAAAGAAGCCCCTGACCCAACCACACATAGTGGGCAGCCTTGGCAGGCAACAAAGCCCAGAGGGCCAGGCTCACACACTAGAGTGCTTACAACAGTCAAAGCCAGACCTTGCAGCCAGCTGCACCAGAGGCCTGCCCCATCTACCATGCACCACAGAAATCATGGCCAGTCCTCTTAGCCACACAAACCAGGAGCCAGCCCCACTCACCAGCATGCCTGTAAACATTGCAGCCAAGCCTTACAGACTGCTATGCCAGGGGATAGCCCCCCACACCAGCAAAACACCAGCAAATACACACTAATCATGACCCAACCACAACAGGAGGGTGCATGCAACCCTCATAGGGGATACCCTGAAGGCACTTGGCTCAGGTGACCAAGAGTGTTTGTGCTACGGGGCCCCACAGGACACCTTCTACATAAAGTGACTCCATTAGGACCAGGAGACATAACTGACATATCTAATGCATAGAAACAAACACAGAGAGTTAGGCACAATGATGGCATAGAGAATCTGTTCCAAATAGAAGAACAAAAAACCCACAGAAAAGAACTGAACAAAAGAGATAAGAAATCTACTAGATAAAGAGTTCAAAGTAATGGTAATAATGATGCTTATCAAACTCAGGAGGAAAATGGATGAGCCACTGTGAGAAATTCAACAGAGAGATAGAAAACATAAAAAATAGCAAATCAGAGCTGAAGAACACAATAACTGAAATGAAAAATACACTAGGAAAAAATCATAGCAGATTAGATGATGCAGAAGAATGGATCAGCAATCTGGAAGACAGCAGTGGAAATCACAGTTGGAACAACAAAAAGAAAAACAATATTAAAAATAATAGTTTAAGGGACCTCTGAGACAACATCAAGCATACTGACATTCATATTATAGGGGTCCCAGAAGGAGAAAAAAGAAAGAAAGGGACAGAAAACCACTTGAAGAAATAATGGCTAAAAACATTCCTAACCTGGTGAAGACATACAAGTCCAGGGAGCACAGAGAATCACAAATAAGATGAACCCAAAGAGACCAGCACCAAAACTGATTATACTCAAACTGTCAATGATGAAGCAGAAAGAGAAAAAAAAAACCTAGTTATGTACAAAATAACCCCCATAATAATACACCTGTAAGAATGGCTATTATCAAAAAGACAAGATATAACTAGTCCTGTAAGAACGCAGAAGAGAAAATGCTCATGCACTGTTCGGGGAAATGCAAAAAGGTAAAACCACTATGAAACACAGCATAGAGATTCCCCCCAAAATTAAAAATAAAATTACCATAAGATCCAGCAATTCTACATCTGAGTATTTATTAGAAGACAATAAAAACACTAATTTGAAAAAGATACAAGCACCTTTGCAGCATTATTTACAATAGCCAAGATATGGAAGCAACCTAACTCTCCATCAATAGATGAATAAAGAAGATATATATATAATGAAATATTATTCACCCAGTAAAAAGACTGAAATCTTGCCATTTGCAACAACATGGATAAACCTAGAGGACCGTGCTAAGTGAAATAAGTCAGACACAGAGGCACAAATACTGTATCATTTCACTTACACATGGAATCTAAAAAACAAAACAAACAAAACAAAACAAAACACAAACAGGATCATAGATACAGAGAACAATCAGGTAGTTCCCAGGGGCAATTAGGGTGGGCAGGGAGGGGGACTGGTTGAAATAGGAGAAAAAGATTAAAAGGCTCAAACTTCCAGTTATAGAATACATAATTAAAGGGGATGAAAGTTACAGAATAGGGAATATAGTTAACAATATTGTAACAACTTTGTATGGTGACAGATGGTAGCTAGATTTATCCTGGTGATCACTTTGGAATGCATATAAATGTTCAAAAACTATGTCCATTGTATTAACAGTTCACTGTATTAGCACTGAAATTAATATATTATTGTATGTCAATATTTTGATAACAAATCAAAATAAACTTGAGGAGGGGAGAGCAGAAGATATTCATGATGTTGAGGTGCTCTGAGATAGTTGTCCTTAAGACAAATGAAGGCACTAAGGGGAAGTCCAAATCAAAGCTTCATAGTTCAAGAAAGAAACTAGGCCCAGATGTCCCTGCCTGGTACCCCATCCTCAGTGCTACATGGGACATACCAAGGTAAGCCCTCAGAGAGGTTGCAAGAGCCAGGGACAGAAAATTATTATCTATCATGACGCCTTCACCAGGCTAAGCACATGTTACTCTATGCACAGACTGTTGAAGACAGGGATGTGGGGCCACTTGGGGAGGGAGAACCTATGTAATTCCTCTGGATCCTTGGAGACAATCCTGCACAAAGTTAATGTGTGTTCTTCTTCTTATTCTCTCCCCCACCAAACACCAGAGATTTAGTGACACAGCATCAGCGGATACTCCCATGAGGGAAGCAAGGGCTGTAAGTATCTATACCTTGGGAAGGATGGTAAGAATCCATGCAAAGGAGCATTCAGATTTAAGAAGCATTAGATTTTCTACAATCAGACACATTTTCTGTATGTGGTCTCTTGGCACAGTTTGTCTTCTTTTTCACTAATCATTCCAGGGAGCTGAATAGATGAGGCAAGACTTTGATGTCCTTCCCAGGTAAGAAGTGAACTTTGAGAATGCCTGATCAGAAGGTGTGAATATCTGATCTCAGACAGATAATTAGTCATCACTGGACACTAAGAGAGCTAACTTATCTTTGAGCTAAATGTTGAGATTTATATATATATATATTCATTCTATATATATATTCTATATATATATATCAATTCTATATATATATCAATATATATATATATTCATTCTACAGTTGAATCCTTCTTTACCCAGTCTACTTGTGAGTCACATTCCCCTGACCTCAGGGTGTGAAATATCAGCCAAAGAACAAGAAAATTCACTCCCTCTCTCTCACTTTACCTTCTCCATCTTTCTTTGCCCTAGAACTATTTACATTCAATTCAACGGTTTTGTATGTCTTCCGTACTTCCACTGCAAATGATGTGGAAAGAAGCATCTTGATTTAAAATAATGGTTCTTTTTTAAATTCTTTATTTAAATTCAATTTAGTTAACATACACTGTATTATTAGATTCAAGGGTAGAATTTAGTGATTCATCAGGTGCATACAACACCCAGTGTTCATTACATCAAGTGCCCTCCTTAATACCCATCTCCCAATTATCCCTTCCCCCACCCACCTCCTCTCCAGCAACTCTGTTTGCTTCCTAGAGTTCAGCATCTCTTATGGTTTGCCTCCCTCTCTATTTTCATCTTATTTTTAAAAGGATGGTTCTTCATCAACCACAAACTAGGTGAAATAGCTATTTCATGATTATATAGATGTGCATTTGCCAAGGATAATATTTATGAGAAGCTAACCTGAACCTGATTCATAGACTGCATCTGTGGTTCCTGTGATTATCAGCCACAGACCAAGGAGGAAAAGGGAATCAAGCCTTCTATAGGCCTCCTCCTCCTTCTCCCTCTCACCTTCAATCTGTTTTCTTTTTTTTAAGATTTATTTATTTATTTGAGAGAGAGAGAGAGAGCACACTGTGCAGAGAGGCAGAGGGAGAAGAGAGAGTCTTTAGCGACTCTAGGCTTAGCATGGAGCCCAATGTGGAGCTGGATGTCATGACCCCAAGATCATGACCTGAGCCAAAACTAAGAGTCAGACTCAACCAACTGTGTCATCCAGGTGCCCCCCACCTTCAATCTGTTTTCTATAGATTTCTATCACAAAGATTCTAAAGGAACAAGTGAAAATACACCTTTGGCTCTGATTTGTTCATATTCAGGAAGAAAATCATTAGGGTAAATGCCCTTTTACAACTGCTCATTCTCATTGTAAGAACCAGATGGAAAGATGCATGTCCTAGATGACATAAGAACATTAACTGACAGGACCTTTTATCTGTAGGTGCATACAAGTCCATGGGAATGTCCAACCTGACAAGACTCTCTGAATTCATCCTCGTAGGACCGTCCTCTCACCCTGAGGACCAGAAGCCACTCTTTGCCCTCTTTCTTATCATGTACCTGGTCACCTTGGTGGGGAATCTGCTCATCATCTTGGCTATCCGCTCTGATCCTAAACTCCAAAACTCCATGTATTTCTTCCTGAGCATCTTGTCCTTTGCTGGTATCTGCTACACAACAGTCATAGTCCCCAAGATGTTAGTGAACTTATCAGAGGCGAAAACCATCTCCTATGCTGAATGTCTGGCATAGATGTATTTCTTCCTGGTCTTTGGAAACATAGACAGTTATCTCCTGGCAGCTATGGCCATTGACCACTATGTAGCCATTTGTAACCCCTTCCATTATGTCACTGTGATGAACCACAGACACTGTATGCTGCTAGTGGCCTTCTCCATAGCTTTCTCCTGCCTCCACTCCCTTCTACATGCCCTCCTGGTGAATCGGCTCACCTTCTGTGCATCAAACGTTATCCAACATTTTTCTGTGATGTCAACCCTGTTCTAAAACTGGCCTGTTCTTCCTCTTCTGTCAACAAAATCGTGGCCATGACAGAAGGGATGGCTTCTGTGATGGCCCCATGTATCTGCACTGTCATCTTTTACCTGAGAATCCTCATTGCTCTCTTCAATATTCCCTCAGTGGCTGGAAAATGCAAAGCCTTCTCCACCTGCAGCTCCCATCTCACAGTGGTGACTCTGTTTTATGGGAGTATTGGCTATGTCTATTTCCACCCTTTGTCCACCTATACTGTCAAAGACCGAGTAGCAACAATCATCTACACTGTACTGACATCTATGTTGAATCCATTTATCTACAGTTTGAGAAACAAAGACATGAAACAGGGCTTAGAGAAACTGATAAGCAGGATTAAGGCTCAAATGGATATGCTTTCTACTACACAAGCCAACAAAATCCGTGGATCCTGATATCAAAGTGTGGGTGTGGGTGCTCATGTACACACACCTGCACAAACTCACAGGTGCACACACATGCACACACACACATCAGCATGTGAGAAAAATTTTTTTGGAAAAATATACTCTCTGCTCAATTGTAGCTGCACCCTGTAGTTTTCCAACCTGTGGTCTCTGTCATACCATGGTTGACAGTACCTTCCATGTCTTGGTACCTATGCTACAATGTAGATCACCTCAATATCTCTCTATTCCAGAAAATCACATTCCCTTTATTCCTTCCATATTTATAGGGAACCTCCCATATTTCCTTCATTTATAAATTCATCCAAGTTTGGTCACTTGAATTACAAAAGAATCTTTGTACATTTATTTTTTTTAATTTTTTATGTTATGTTAGTCACCATACAATTTTTGTACATTTATGTAGAAATCTATATATGTGCAAAAATGTCTTGCATTGGGGCGCCTGGGTGGCTCAGTCATTAAGCATTTGCCTTCAGCTCAGGTCATGATCCCAGGGTCCTGGGATCAAGCCCTACATTGGGCTCCATGCTCAGCAGGGAGCCTGCTCGTCCCTCTCCCACTCCCCCTGCTTGTGTTCCTGCTCTCCCTATCTCTCTGTCACATAAACAAAATCTTTAATAAAAAAATGTTTTGCATTTATAACTACTCTGTTCTATCTGAAATAGAAGATTTTTTTGCAAGTGGTTGGGTGAATGTGTGTGTGTGTGTGCGTGTGTTACCTCCTTATTGGACTAGGAGCTTCCCAACTGCAGATCAGAATGTTTTCTGATCATGCCATGATATAACTCGGGTCTCTTTTATTAATTCTCCCAACAGCTGGATATCCTGGGCTCTGGAGTCATTAGATACACAAAACCTAACATCAATCACATAACTGACTATTAGTAAGCCAGCTCTATGCCTCTGTAGTGTTCTGTTCTCTATTCTTCCTGTCTTTCATAAGCTCAGGTTGCATTCATCAAACAACGCTTCCTGAAACTCCTTGCCTATGTGCTCCTCTCTCTAAAGATGCCTGTATTTCCATGTGTTTTCTATTTGTTAGTTTTTTCAGAATGAAGGAAAATTTGTTCTATGTAATCAGAAATGCTTCCTATGGCCACTGAAGACAGAGTCAAAAATCAATGGATGTATGTATTATATGTTGGCTAATTGAACATAATAAAAAAAAAGAAAAGAAAAAACAGTGGATGTAAACTATTAGTAAGAAGCTTTTGGTTTACAAAGCCTCATAAAAAAGAGGTTCTTTTAAAAAAAATAATGATGTACTATATGTTGGCTAACTGAACATAATAAATAAATAAAAATACATGTGGTTTTTGATGTAGTGTTCAACAATTCATTAGTTGTGTATTTTTATTTATAATTGAGCTCCATTCATTTCCCACCTTTCATGGATATCATTGCTCCTTCCAAGTCCCATTTCTAAACTCTCAGGACTTACACAACTTCCCCTGATGTCTTCAAAGACCCAAGAGGATTTTTCTTGTTTGCTTTTTGTTTTGTTTTGTTTAGATTAGTCTGTACTTTGGTACTATGCTGATTCAGTTGCTGACATCTGACCTTTTCCCATTCATTTGTCACCATGGGTGATGACTAGGCCATGCTTATGAGATTGATGACTGGCCCACATGTCTTCTTATGCTCTGTAATGATGATCCAGTGGTGATATCAGCCTTGGCCAACATGAAGGGTTCTTGCCACAGCCCTTTGATGTTGGTCTAGTCTCTCCACCAACCTGGCTTCTCTCACTCATCTATTTGGTTTTTTTTTTTATTTACATTCAATTAATTAACATATAGTGTATTATTAGTTTCAGAGGTAGAATTCAGTGATTCACCAGTTGTATATAAAACCCAGTGCTCATTACATCACGTGCCCTCCTTAATGACCATCACTCATCTATTTGAATGAGCCACTCTAGGTCCTTAAAAAACATTTAAATAACCTCCAGGAAAATACTTAGTGCAATATCCAGTCCTCTGATGTCTACAAATACAATGCCACCATTTTCTATTGCTCTTTTTAATTTCAAGAGCAAAAGGAGCACCAGTATAGTCCTCATATTGCACAGGGCCCATGTCCAATCTACTGTCAGATTCACAGACTTAAAGGACCCTGCAAGAGACTCTCTACTGTTATCTAAATGTGTCCCATTGCTTTGATTTCTCCTTCATCTCTTCCCTGGGATATATGTGGATTCCAAGTGATGACTCTTAAGAGCTAAGAATCTGGTGTTTAACACGTTGGGGTTTTGGATGGAATTGTGTTTCCCCATAATTTCATAAGTTGACATCCTAACCCCCTCATCTCAGAATGTGACTTATTTGGGGATAGGGTCTTTAAAGAGGTAATTAAGTTAAAATGTCTTTCAGGTGGTCCCCAATCCAAGATGACTGGTGTCCTTATAGGAAGAGAATATTAAAACACAAACATACACAGATGTAAGATCTTGTGAAGATACTGCAAAGCCAAAAAGAATGTCCTCAGAAGAAACCAACCCTACCAATACCTTGCCCTGACTTCCAGCTTCCAGAATTGTGAGAAAATAAATTTCCATTGCTTAAGTCACCCAATCAATGGCACTTTATTATGGCAGCCCCAGAAAACTAATACAATATACTTGATAATTCTGCTGCAGAGAACTGAAAAGTACTGGGGCGTCTGGGCAGCTCAGTTGGTTAAGCATCCAACTCTTGGTTTCAGCTCAGGTCATGATCTCAGGATTGTGGGATTTAGCCCCATATCAGGCTCCTTGCTCAGCATGGGGTCTGCTTACGATTCTCTTCTTTTCCCTCTGCCCATCCCGCTGCTTGCACTCTCTCTCTCTCAAAAAAATAAATTCTTTAAAAAAAAAAAGAAGTGAAAAGTAAGCAATGCTTTATCCCCCAATTTTTTTTTTTTTTTAGTGTGTAGGGATAGGTACTTTTTTTATTATTATGTTATGTCACCATACCCCCCAATTTTTAATTCACAATATCTGCTTGCCATAAATCTTCCATTTTGGCAATGAAATCTGTTTTCAAAACCTGAAGGTCTCTGATTCATTGATTATCTCATATATCTCTTATATCTTTTATATATCTAATATAAAACTGGGAACTTACCATAACCTCTAGCTCACCTAGAAATTAAGACCCAGATCTCAACTAGCGAGAGATGGGGGTGAAAAAGTCAACATTACAACAAAAAGACAAGGGAACACTGATTAAACTGAAGTCTCAACTAGGTAAAGAATTACTATGACCACGGACCTTTGAAGATGTCCCTGCCATCGGTCTCATGAGTTATGTGGGAAATCTGAGACGGTCTTACCTTCCTGTTAAGCTCTGAAAGAGAAGAACCTGTGATAGCTCCTTATCCTGCCTTCTTCTAACACAGGTGAGGTCAAAGCTGAATAGCCAGGTTCTCCCTAGTATGATTTTACTTGATCTGGTTTGAATTTTACTAAATTGTTTTTCCATTTATTTCTTTTTTCTTTTCTTTTATTTATTTTATTTTATGTTAATCACCATACATTACATCATTAGTTTTCCATTTATTTCTAACATTAATAACTAGAAGCCAACTCTCCACTATAGAGAACTGATGGTTACCAGAGGAGAGGTGGGTGGGGTCATGGGTTCAACAGGTGATAAGGATTAAAGAGTGCACTTGTGATGAGGACGAGGTGTTGTATGCAAGTGTTGAATCACTATATTGTATACCTCAAACTAATATTTCACTGTATGTTAACTAACTGGAATTTCAATAAAAACTCTCAAAAAAGAAAAAATAATTAGTCCACCACTTTAATTTATAAGAAAAACAAAGAAAGATAAGGACCTTAGATGCACGGCTAGGTCCACAAAAAAAGAAGGAGCCAAGTACAACCAAGACTGAAAAAGATAAAGAAATAGCAAATCATTCTTCAAACAGTTTAACTACTGTACTGACATCTTTATGTCATACAAAGGGAATATAAGTGCTATGTATGAGTATCTGCTTAGGGTTCCTCTCTCTACAGGAGATTTCAGACAAGATCATTTTGCTCAAAAGAAAAACTATAGGTGTTTCAGGGGCCCCAAGTTTTCCCCAATACATTCTTGATGAGTTTGAAAGGAAGGAGAAGTCATGAGATGAGATGAGGCTGGGGACTGTGAGGCTGAAGTGCCCATGGGAATTCCTCCATACTAGGCTGGCCAAAGTGCACCTAGAAACAGGATTTCCACTGGGAAGTTAATCTGTTGTGCCAGAATAGCAACTAAGGTCCAAAGCCAAGGATGAAGGCTCTAATCCCTACATTCTAAAGAATGTTCTAGCACTGGTAGGCTAACCCCCACCCATCAGGGCTTTTGGAAAGCAACTAGCACAAGCTCTACTACCACCAACTACCACTCAAGTCTCCTACTTCCATTTTGCCATTTTTCCTTGGGCAGCATTTTCATTAATAACCTCACAGAAAGAGGCAGCTGAGTCTTAGAGCGGGACCCAAATTTTCTTGAGTTCCCTGGCCATAATGCCTTCATAATTTCCATCATCTTGTGAGCTAACATTGACCTTTTATCATACATTTTTAATAAATTTAAAAATGCCAGCCAATGTACACCAAGCCACCATGGTAATGTGAAGATAACTAGCATAAATCAATCACCTATAATTCTGACTGATGGGAATTAATGACCTCATTTTAAAGAAGAGGAAACTGAAATTCAAAGAGGTGAAGTGACTTGCCCAAAGTCACCAGCAACTAAGTGGTAAACAGAATTCAAACTCAGAATTGACTAACTCTGCATCCCAAGTGCCTACCCAAACACCATGGGTAGAAATGGGAGCTATCTGTGACCCCACCTTAACTTGTGTGAGGATATCCTCAAGAACAGCCACAACTTTCCCCAGAATCCTTTCTTGGCTCCTATTCTAGAAGAGTTCTGAACCCGATGACTGATGTTCTGACCAGGACATCAACACTTTTATTCTCAATGTACAGCATGCTTCTCTGACTACAC